AGCAACCGCAGCCCCTGGCCATCCCCTCCCGCGGGGTCCAGCGGCTCGGCCGAGCGGGAGCCCCGGCCTGGGCCTTCAAGGGGGGCCGGCAGCAACCAGCTCCTGGCGACGCTCCGTGTTATTTAAAACCGTATCCGTTAATTCAGGGCAGTCGGGATTATTATGAGTATCACAGAGCGGAATTCAAAGACAGGATTATGTGTTGTACCTGCAAATGCTACTTAATACAAGTAGGTACAGTTTCCCATTTTTTCCTGTTGTAGAAAGTAGCCGAGTTATAGTCAGCTGTTGTAGGTGGTGACTTCGGTCCAGATGGTATTTAGGAAAATCTTTCTGCTTAGTTTAGTGGTTTGCTCTGATTTCACGTGAGATAAACGTTTAGGGATTTATTACCTAGTGCTACAATATTACTCTCCGTTAATTCTTCTGAAGTAGCTAGATTTTCAGGAAGAAGCTGAAAACGCATGATTATTCAGTGTTAAAACCGTATCTTCTTATTTTATCAAAATCTGTTCCTGGAGCTCCACTATAGAAACCTGAGCTTTAGTTGTTGGGTGAATGAGATGCTGCTCCATCCTTCGACGTGTTTGTCTGCTTATGGGAAAGGAGATACAGCAACAGGTTTTCTAGATTAGGATGAAAAGACTTGCGATTGCATTTGAAGGGAGCCTAACTAAAAAAAAAATAAGGGGGGGGGGGAAATGATTAAAAATAATTTTAAGACGACCTTGGAAAAGAACAGTTTTTCAAGACATGGAGATAAAGGAGAAAAAGCAGCCGCTGCTCGTTACATACATCATCTGACTCAGGACCTGCCAAGGGTTTTTCAGTTTTCATGCATTTAGCTGTCTCAAAGTTTTTTTTCATTATCCCCAATCCCCGCTTTGCGTCTCTCTCCAGGAAGGAGCAAATCTGGAGATAAGTGAACAGAACAACACGATGAGGCTTTCCTTTTTTCAGCTGTAAGGTTACATTAAGCCAGTAAAATCGATTTTGTGAGCCCCCTTCGTCAGAGTGGTGGAGCTGAGGTCTGCGCTCGCTGCTGAAGGAAAATGAGAATTATGTGTCCTGGCGGTGTCTTGCACGGGCAAGCGTGGGATTCGGATGGTGCTTGCGGGGCAGCCCTGCCTGGAAATTAGGCTCTCAGCTTTTTATTTGGCAAATTTTAATTATATGAGAAATTATTATGCACAGCAGGAGGAACATACTGCCTGTATCTGTTTGCATATGCAATTTTTGCTTATGCATATGCAATGCCCTGCATTATTTATGCACCTCTCACTTGGTCTCCCACGTAGTATTTTTTCCAAGTTCCTTCTAACCTAAGCAGCAATTTTTTTTGTACCACTACTGTATTAAACTAAGATTTCTGTGGTGGCGTTCACCTGCAAATGAGGCTCGTGGCGCAGCTGGAGGAGCAGTGCTCCCCGAAACCGGGACAGCCGTGCATCTTCCCCGTTGACGTGATGCTCCCCCCCCCGTTGATGTGATGTCCGCAACGTGCACAACCTCTGAAAGGGCAAAAGCGAGCTTGGGCGCTTGTCTCTGCTTGATCTGTACCACCCAGACCCCTGCTCCAGTCGCCTTGTCTCGCTGCTGACGAGGGTGTGGATGAAGTCTACTTTGCAGAGGAGGCCCTCAGGTTTGAGCAGCTGGAAGAAGCTGAGATAAGTGATCTCGAAGGTGCTTTTGTACAGGTACGGCATCGCTCCCTGCTTGGGCTCAGAGCTGCAAAGAGCTCTTGCTGCCCAGCGCGTGCCGGGGGCTCAGAGCCTGTCCCGGGGGATGCAACGCCCTGGCGAGGAGCAGGCACCGGGCTGGGCACTGGGAATGTTGTCCACCAGGACGTTCCCATCTCTGAACCTGAGACAGCAGCAGTAGCTGTGCACCAAGGGGGGGGGATGCTTTCACCCTAAAATGTTGGCACTGAACGACAAGCTGAGAGGCTGGCGAATGGTCGGGGGATATGGGGCACCCAGTCAAGCTGCAAAGTTTGCTCTTTTACTGACAGAGCAGGTCTTTTTCTCCTTAAAATGGCTTTTTTCATTTTGAAGGTGGAAGAGGAGACAGCTGAAGCTGCTGAAACCGATGCCGAAGGTATAATATATAGCAGCGTAATGTCAAATTAGGATGAACTGAAGCAGGCAACGCGATGCCCGGCGAGGGGAAAATGCAGCTTCTCCCTCCCCGCTGCTCGCTGTCTGGGAGCGGGCAGACGAGTTTTCTGCAGCGTGGGCCTGCGTGGGCAGTCGGGGCTTTTCGCTAGCTTAAAGCATCCCGTGGGCACAGTGCGACGGCAATATTGTCATCAGCTGGAGCCAGCTCTGACAGGCTGGTGCTTACGCAGTACTTAGTCTTGTTGATTAAGCAACCTCTGATGTGAAAGAAGAGTTTTTCCTTCAGCTGAAGAACGTGGGTGGGGACAAAAAGGATTTTCGCTACCACTTTGCTCAATTTGGGAAATAACTGGTGGCATAAAGCGCATTTTAATATAACCTTTTAGGAGGTAACGGGTTGGTAGTGAAACTTAGGTGGTGAGCTCCCATCGCAGCCTGAGTGAGCAAAGGCAGGTCCTGGCGTAACTCCACCGACGTCAGGGGAGTTGCACATGGGATGGCTTGACCTGAGCCCTGGTACAGGCTGGAGATTTCTCTGCTCATGCAGCCCTGCAGAGCACCCCGATCTTGCAGCGATGCTAGAAGAGCACATGGTAGGATGCTCACCGCTGCTGCTACCAACGTCCGTGAGCAGCGGGCGGCAACAAAAACCCCAGCAGCCCTGCATTTCTCTGCGCTGACATAACCCATCTCAAACCACTCTGTGTTTTATTGCAGCTTCAGATGCCTTGCCCTTTGCTTGAAGCACCTAGGCACCTAGCAGCATGTCCAAGCGTGCCCGAGACGTCGAGCTAGATTGGCTGGGGCATGACAAGCCGCTCGCCTCCCCTCCCGGCCACGGCGCGCTAGAGCAGCTCCCCAATGTCCCCAGCTACCGAGCCACCGCTGCCTCCCGCATCCCTGTCCTTGTCACCAGCAAGCCAAAGGCTGGAGTTGTCAACCCCAATTTTTGCAATGAGGAGCAATCCCCCCTAGGTATTGGAGATGTCAGCTTTGACGATGGACTTGCGTACCTTGAGGGGGGCAAGGGGTTATTCCTTGGAGTAGCTGCTTTTTGTTGCTTTTTTGGGGAAAAAATAAATAAAAGCATGTTTCATGTTGCAGCACAGAGGCTGGGGAACAAAATTCATGTTCTTTCTGCTTCTGCCTCATCACTATACTGCCTTTCTAGCTAAGCCCTAGAGAGCGTTTGCAAATATCTGTACGTGATATGCTATATGTTTTGACCTGCTTGGCCAAAAACTCTCCTGAAGGACCTGCAGGCAGAGGGTTAAATATCCACTGCATACACAGTTTTCTCCTCAGCGTTCGTGCAACCCACTCATACTAAGATGACAGTACGATGGAGGTTTGCTGTTCATGAGTGTCTGCCTTTTAACCCAGAAGTACGAATTAGGTTTCTGTAGCTTTGTTTTGCTTTGTTTTTAACCGGCAAGCCAAATTCTGCTGCTTTTCCTTACATGCAATGGGATTTTAACTTTGCAACCCAAACAGGCTTTTTCTCGGTGATTTGATCGAGCCACTCTCTGATCCACTGGTCCCACATCAGCGTGGGACAGGAGGGGATGCACAGGGTCTTTCAGACGTGTGACACCCTCCCCCCCCTTAGAATAAAACCTGCAGGAACTCATTGAATTTTGTTATACAGCTAAGAAAAGGGATGACACTTCACAGCCCTGCCGGCTGCGGGGTCTAGCCAAGGTAACCCCCAGCGCCATTTCTCCCTTGGGCAATGGGCACCTCTTGTTACCCACGGTGAACATCCAACCTTCCTGCCAGAGGCCACCTTGCTCGTGGCAGGAAGCAGTTATTACCTCTGCAGAAGAGAGAGGCCGTAAGTGCTTATTTAAATAGCGCCTTATTCTGCATGAAAAGCAAATGCTTGTGTAATTTGGAGCTCGCATGATCCATATATTTATGTTCAGAAGACCCAGGAGGTTTTTCTGGACCCTGGGAGGAGGGTTTGCAGCTGGAAATCCTGGGTTCCTGCGTAACACCTGCAGCTGGTAATCCACATCTCCATCATTTTCCGAACCACGGGGACCCAAGGCTCGCACGGAGTAGTTGCAATCACTGCAAGCTGGGAAAGCAGAAGGGAAGCAGGTGGCACTTCTTATAGTGTTAAAAACTGGGCAAAAAAAAGAGAAAGAAATGCTCCAAACTGTTAGGAGAAAGGAGTGCTGGGCAAGAAGGGAATGGAGGGAAAAGGAGAGTCCTTCCAGCACGCTGGGGGGTTTGGGGGCAGCTCCGCGGAGGTGATGGGGCTTGGGGGTTCATCCTGGCTTCAGGCTGGGCCCTTCGCCCCTCTCACCTGCAATTATTGTCCTTCTCCAAGGGCCAGGTAATTGCCCCACCGTGGACATCAAGGACGTGGACAGCGGAGGCGATGCTGTGGAGAATGACGGTACCCACTTACTGATGCCCACCATCGACACTCCCAACATGGTGGTGGTGTCCGGCACGGCGCCGGCATCCCCCAGGTATGGCTCTGCCCAGGCGCGGTCCCCGGCTCCCAGGGGTCTCACCTCCCCCCGCCCCTCCCCCCT